CTGTTCTGAGTAGGTGGTTTTTGTTCTTTTATATTTCAAATTGCTGATTGGACCCTCAGCTTCATTTACCCTACTGTTGATCCTCTGCAAATTACTTTTCATTTCAGTTAGTGTATCCTTCATTTCTGACTTGATTCTTTTTTATGGTTTTTATGTCCTTTTTAATGTTGTTGAAGTCTTCTCTAAGTTCAACTACTCTTCCCCTCAGTTCATTGAGCATCCTATAATCAATATTTTGAACCTGTATCTAGTAGATTGCTTGTCTCCATTTTGTTTAGTTCTTTTTCTGGAGTTTTATTGTGTTCTTTCATTTGAGACATGTTTCTTTGTCTCCTCGTTTTAAGAGCCTCCTTGTGTTTGTTTCTATGCATCAGGTAGAGCTACTTTGTCTCCCAGGGTTGATAGAGTGTCCTAATGTAGTAGATGTCCTGTAAGTCTAATGATACAGCCTCCTGTTGTGGGCTGTAATTGAGCCTTTATTGCTGTTGGCACATCAATAAGAGGGATTAATCTCCAGGACAATAGGCTGACTGCATGGAATAGCTGTGACCACCAACTACAGTGGAGGATCAGCTATGTAGGGGCTCATCCGATGGAGCAGGACTTACTTGAGTAAGTCTGCCTCTTGAGTGTGTTGTTTATGGAGGTTGTCACATGGTCTGGAGCTGTCCACTGGGTGCACTGGCTCTGGGGCCTCCCAGGAGGTGCAGACCCAGATCAGCAGCTACCGGTATTCTGCCCAGGGTCCACCCAGCTTGAACTATAAAGTAATCAGCAAATGACTGCTACTTATGCGGGGCTTGGAGATTCCAAGGAGGTCAAGCCACTTAGTGAGAGGTATGGACACAATGAGTTCAGGTGCTACTTATTTGAGAGATTTTAGGAAAACATGAAGTGTGAGGCAAGATGGGCCATCGTATGAAGAAGCCACTGGGAAAAACTTGGGTGGGCCTGCAATTTTGGTGGTGCATGGTCTTAGGGAATCACCAGGGTGGGGTGAATAGTATGAACCAAGTTGCTGGAGCCTCAGATATGGCAACCATACTGCTGGCTTTCTAGGGGGATGGTTTATCAAAGGAACAATGGCCTCTGCCAGCACTTTTATCTGGCAATGGGGACTCTGGCCCTGATGGCAGACAATTCAGTTCTGCCTTGTATGTTCCTGGTGCCTTTCAAACCACTGCCCCAGCGCTAGAGCTCATAGGGAGTGAGTCTAAATAAGTATGTTCATGGGCCTTTTAGAAAGAACGGCCTGGGACTCCAAGGACACTCTGTCTCTCTCAGCCTGAATTTCTGCTGGTTTTTATGACCAGAAGTTATGGGCACTCTTTCTCGAACACTAAAACTCCCAGCTTGGGGGCCTGATATAGGGCTAGGACCCCTCACTCCTCAGGGTCACCTCTGTAGCCAAAATATCACTCCTGATTTTTATCTGCTACATGTGGGTATGGGTCTACCTGTTTTTCCTCTCTGACCCTCCTATCAGTACCGATGTGGCTTCTTCTTTAATTCCCTAGTTGTAGGACATCCATTTAGGTAGATTTCAGGAGGTTCAGGATGATCGTTGTTCTGTAGTTTAGTTGTAATTTTGATGTGGTTGTGGGAAAATATAAGTACCACACTACCTACACTACCATCTTGACCGGAAATCCAAGTTTCACATTGAAAAAAATATTACAATGTTAAGGCAATGATGAAGTTAAGAAAAAGTGGATTAAAAAAAAGCAGACTAATTTGTTGAATAGGTGACTGTAGCCATTAAAGTGCATAAAATCAGTCTCTCTTTTAAAAAATAAGACCATATGTCAGGTCATAAAATAATGTAGAATGGGATTTTTCAAATTGTATACCATAACCTATTAATAGATCATGAAATCAATCAAAAGGGACAGATTGTGCATTTTAAACAACGAGGAAAAATAGCATTGAAAACATTAAAAATGTTACATATTGTACCTAAGGAGGATAGCAGTAACTTGTGAAAATTTTTTTGCAATTTTATGTACTGAGTCACAGTGGAAAACATATTTCTTATGAAAGATGCATTTGAAAAAGTGGAAAAGCCAGAGATTTGCAGAAAAATTACTGAAGTGAGTGAAGAGACCTGAGGCTCATCTTCTAAACATCACACACTCTTGGGCAAACAGCAGGAACTCTGAAGCAGTTGTACTCTGAGAAACTTTCCAGCCCATGATTAGAATAAACTTATTGGTTGGCTTAGGAAACGAAGGCTAATATCTGAGGATATTTTCAGTTCTATGAAGTGGCCATTTTTATGTGTCAAAAAAACTTCAGAAATTTGTATTTCTTTGTTAGGTCAAAATAGTAAGATCAGAGGAGGAAATAATATAGTGAATATCTGTAGTTAAAATAATATAGGTTAAGAAAATTAAATTTAAAAAAATCTATGAGGGAATGATAATCTCCTGACCATTGGTAAAAAATACAATGAAACAAAACTAACAAGTACACAAAAAAGGAAGAGCTTCTACACATAAGTGGTTGTGGTCTAATTTATATGTCATTTTTATGAATCATATTTACAAAAAATCATATCAGTAGAAATATAAAATACTATCAGAGCATAAATTATCCTACTGATGCTATAAAATTATTTTCTACTTTTTAAATTATAAAACAGATTTCAGGGTTTTTTTTACTTTTTTTTCTCTAGTTATAAGTTTTTCCTGCTTTTATGTAAGAACAGTAGTTAGGGTAATATGTGAGACCCAATAAGACTTTTTAAATATTAATCTAAGTAAGAAAAATGAAACCTGTCATGGTGTCTTCTTTTTTGTTATGTTTTAATGCTTTTTGGTGGATGTGCACTCCTAAAATGGTAACAGACTGTGCATTTTAAATAGTTTTGCGTGGCCACACTTCTACTTCAATGTATGCATTTTTATTACCTGCTTTAAGTCTAAATGCATTAAAGCTCTTCAAAAGTTTTAAGATCTCAAATAAAATATTTTGTAAAAAATGAAAGTTGGTATAAACATTCATTCTTTAGGCATGCCTTTACATGTGTTGGTGTTACTGTCATATATGATGTTTTGAATACCTAGCTGCTTGAAATTGTCTTAGGAGAAAGGTACACATCTCCTTAATGAATCTGGAAAACTTAAAATATATTAATAAGAAACTTTATATATCAAAGTGGCTTTAAAATGGAGTCATCATTTTAAAAATTTTAAAATTACGTCATGTAGGAATTGAAGGAAGACTCATTGTGTGGTTTCTACCACCATTTTGAAGGTTTATTTTAGTAAACAGTGCTTTAAACTCGAAAGTTAGCTAGGGTTATCTTTTTTTCATTTTAGTCTTTCTGTCCAACATTTTCTTCTCATAAGAAGAAATGAAACAAAATTAGGGCCTAAAGGCTCCCTACTGGTTAGAGTTTTAATTCAGAAGTTCACTACACTTTTCATATACAAATACCTTCTTGATTTAATGACAAAATACCCTCTTTTTTTTGTAGCCTTTTCACCACCAGATAAGTCTCTGTGAGAGAAATGAGACCAAAAGCTGTTGCAGCCTTAGAAAATTAACAAAGCATTTTTAGACTTGTGAGAGACACTGAATAGTTTGGTGCATTTCAGAAGGAGGCTTCTCCAGTCCCTAATAAACATTTTCAACTGCTGGTAGAAAAATGTAGCTACCTTTAATTTGCTGAAGTTAAGGGAATTGTCATCTGACATGAACTTCCAATGAGGCATATGCAAAGCAGATTTGTTTATTAAAATATAGTGTTCCACTTCTAATCATTTAATAAATATACATAGAGTCCGACACAAATAACACCTTTTTTTAATCACAAAATGTTTTATTGCAAAATTATAAACATGTAATTCTGTAACATGACAATATCACATAAGCACACTATATGACATTTTAGGTGAAATGTTCACATTAAAACTATAAATTGTTACACCCATATTATTACCCTACCAACCACACTCAGGCAGGTGTTACTTCTGCTGGGCCCTGTATATATTAAGTTCAGGATATTTTACTAAGATCATGTAAACTAAAAATAGATGCAGTGCATTCTTTTTAAAATTTTCCTACATGCTTACTTTATGCTGTATTTGAAACACCTCATGACTCTAAATTGAAAATTCATCAAGGGCTCCCAACAGCTTGAGTTAACTTTCAGCAATTAATTTGGCCTCATTCTTCTAAAATATTATTAGCTCTCATATAGTATTACATTTAATGATGTGTTTTCAGATATTAAAATCAGTAGCCTTTTCTGTAATTCCAGATTTATCATTCTTCTATATCAAAAATAAGTTTTAATAATTTTTTCTATGCTATAGCCTGAAAGGTTATGTGATGTTTAATTGTACTAACTTATATTAAACTTACTTAAAAATAGATATCCAGGTTTTTTAAAAAGTATTGATACTTTTTGTGCAGAAATATATGCTTAATAATTCTAGAGAGTTTTGCTCTATTGCATAAAATGATATTGCCAAATTCAGTTTTGTTTCACAATTACTCAGGATCAACATTCAAGAGGGACCTTATTTTTTTTTCTTAGAAGGATAAAAGCAACCTTATTAGAAAGTAGGTTAAAAGATTGGTACATTTGAAATGATCTTTAAAAATTTAGGCTTAAGTCCTCAGTAATGTACATTTCCTAGTTCATTAATGCAGAAATACCGCACATAGATTTTAATCTTGGAGTTAATAATAAAAGCAATTTTCACTAAAAATATAAAAACTGTAATGGTAGAATCATGATATTGCATTTAGCTCTCCCCACAAAAAGTCATTTTATTACTTTCTTTTGACACTTATTTTCATTCTGGGATTAATTTTACTATATAAGGGCTCCTTAACTATTCTATTAAAATTTCTATTCAGAAGCAATAATATCTAAGAGTGAATAATAGTCATGTAAATCATTATTTCATATTAATGTAAAAGATTTTGTAAGTTCTTATGAATTCTGCTGACATGCACAATTGTGAAAAGGTTATCTCTTCCTTCTACAGTGATATGCGTTGGAACAAAGGAACCATTCTAAAAGCATCAGTGGAGTACATCAAGTGGCTACAAAAAGAACAACAGAGAGCTCGAGAATTAGAACACAGACAGAAGAAATTGGAGCAGGCTAACAGGAGGCTTCTACTCCGGATTCAGGTTTTTATAAGAATGTTGCTACGAATCATGTAGCTTAAATATGACTTACCTCTCATCAGTTTTATTCATTGGTCTCATTTATTTTTTTCTTATTCACAATTATTTTTCCTTCTGAAGGATAATTTTGTTGCCTTTTAGACATTCATGAATTGGGTTGCTTCAATTAAGTTTTGATTAGAAATCTAGGATCAAGAAGACTTAAAAATATATAATGAATTACAGCAACTAATTGTAAAATGCAGAAAATAGAATTAATTTTATAAATACACCCAATATTATCAGACAAAAATAATAATAAAGTATAACATTTGTTTCTTTAGATAATATTGGACACTAAATCCTCCTCTGCTCCTTTTATTTCTTTAGTAACATTGCTATGGATTTCATTGCCTCAAGGCATATTGTGCAAGTTTATATTAAGTCACTCCTCTGTTCATGTGACAAAAATATTAAAATATGGGATTTCATAACTATCAAGGTTTTTTTTTAATGTGAGTATGCTTATAGCCAGGTAAAGCACTTACTTTGTTTCCATGAAGTGGTAATATATTGAGAAATTAATCTGGAAGAATAAATAGAAGATTTTCCATGCCCTCCAAATGACAGTTTTGGAGTCTGAGTTACTATGGGACCATGAGTCACTATGGGGACATTGTGTATTCCTTTAAAGGAAAAGGGAATAGAATTTTAATTTTCTTTCATATTTTTCTAAGGATTATTTTTAGGCAATATAAACATTTTAAATTCTATTATTTGCAGAAATATTTATAATTTGTATTACTCTTCACTTTGAATATGTGTAAATATTTTGGTTTCATTTCTGATTTATTCTCTAGAGTTAAGTCCCCTTTCAAGATCATTAATTATTCTTGTTTGAAATTGCAGGAACTAGAAATACAAGCTCGTGCTCATGGTCTGCCAACCCTGGCTTCACTGGACAGAGTTGATTTAGGTGCTCACGTCACTAGACAACAGACCCATCTTGAGCAGAATTCCATAGACTATTGCCAACTGACTCTGTCTCAAGGAACAAGCCCTGAACCCTGTGATCAAGCTATGGCCTTCTCTGATCCTTTGTCACACTTCACAGATTTATCATTCAGTGCTGCTTTGAAAGAGGAACAAAGATTGGATGACATGTTACTGGATGACACTATATCTCATTTAGGAACAGATCCTTTGCTATCTGCCGCTTCCTCTGCAGTTTCCAAAGAGAGCAGTAAGAGAAGCAGTTTTAGCTCAGATGATGGTGATGAGTTATAAAAAATAAACATAGTCAATTCATCAACTAGGACAGAATTCTGTGTTGGTGCTATGCAATTATATACTGTGTTTGATGTATTGCTTTGGCCTCATTTTTTTGAAAAGAGTATATTGTTCATGAAAAACTGGTGGCTTAAAAACTACAGTAGAATAAATTCACGGGAAGAAGACATATTGTGGTGAAGAATTATTGAAGGCAAAAAAATATTTTTCCTCTTTGATTACAGAATCTAAATCTACTTAAATTTTATTTTCTGGAAGGAGAAAAAACATAAGAAATAGCTCGTTACTTGATGTACTATTGTAACTAACATACTGCAAAAGGTAAACTTCTGAAATGTACAAACATTTTCATAGTTACTTCCAGCTCCTCCTATTCAACTCTTAAAATGGTTTTCAAGAATCATGATCAATAGATTTGGAAGTTCATTTCCTTTCTCTACTGCCTGGTGACCATGTTGTCTAAAGTTCAACCTTCTAGGGAAAATAATGAAAAAGATTATCTGTCACTTATTCATAATTGAAAAGTGAATCCACAATATACATTAAAATTTTTCAAAATAAAATACAAAAAATTTATAAAAACTGGTTTCTAAAATTATATCCTAATTTTTGTAACCTGTTTAATTATGCAAATTCTAAAAGTATCTTTGCATATTTATGGAAATATGCCCTGTTCAGGATAACCTTTCTCAAGAATATGGACTAGAAGTTTATTGTTTCACACACACATACACACAATGCAGGTAATAAGTATTTTTTCTCTTTCACTCTTCTGATTTTCTATTTTTCATCAGAAATCACATTCTTAATTCTGTTTTTTTTAATTAAGAAGAGATTTTTGGGTAATTGATTTCAGCAAATGAACTATTAAGAAAAAAATCCTGCTACAATGACAATTTGTTAGGTATTTAAAATTTATCACTATATCCAATATTCAATGTAAATTAATTAGTTGTTGATACAGTCTCGCTTCAAACTGACAAAATATTGAGAATTGTACTTCCCAGTGACAAAATAATTTGTGAAACAGAAGCTCTTGTTATGTTCAGCTCTGAGTTAGAGTTCTGTTCTCGTAAGAATTTAAAGTACCCTATTGGTTTCTGCTAACTTTGTTAGTATTTATTAAGAATATTTATATATAATGCTTTACTCATTTTTTTCTCTTTTGAGCTTGTTTTAGGCATGAGAATTTACTAACCAAATATCTTGCTCTATGCTAGACCTTTGTGAATGGTAATCTGATCAATGTGTATTTATTGAGGGATACTCTAAACTGAAGTGTCCCGTGAAAATGTACAACATATAAGCAAGATGATATGGTCTTTCTCTTCAGGGAGTTAACAAGATCACATGAGAAAGAGCAAAAAAGATAGACAATATATAGAACTAAAGCCTACATGGAACAGTGTAAGGTACAGATACAGACAGAAAAAATAAAAATGGATAAAATCTGGAGAATCACAGCAGTCTATATGAAGAACAAAATTTAACTTATTTTGAAACCATAAATTGAGTGAAAGGGAGGGAAGATAGAGCAATAGTATCAACTAAATTATAAAAATGAAAATAAGCAAGGTAAGTATCTTGATGGGACATTATTAGAAATAGAATATTCATGTCTTTTGGGGAGTTCTGAAAAGTAATATTGGCAACAGGTTGTGAAAGCCCTTGAAAACTAGGATGAAATGACATACTAAAAATAGATTATTTTTAATAAGGAGGGAGAAGTCTAAAAATCAAAATGCTTCTGCATATTACTAATGTGATTGAAATGCAATCTTTAATGTATCTTGGTGATAAAATTTCAGTTTTAAATATTACATGGAAAACACCTCATCAAAAATTTAAGACAAATGGTGATGAAAGGGAAAATATTACATTCTTATAGTATAATAATTATCTCTGGCTTAACTTACTGCATTACCTCAGAGTTTAAATAATCAATTTTCATTATTTGACATGGAAAAATAATTCTTAATTTATAGGAGCAGTCATTAAAACCAGATAGATAATTTTACCTGTAATATGGCATGTAAAATAGAGCTGTGAGATATACTTCCTCAAGAATTTTTAGGGGAAGATTATATACTTTTAACTTTACGATAAAATTCCACTTTACTACCTGAGTTGATAAGTTAACATTGCAAATTGTAGAGAAACAATGTGTTTCTGGGTCCACTGAAAACATAACATTATGGATAGAGCCTCACTTATGTTCCCATATTATCCATTGTTCTCTTTTTTTTTATAGTTTGAGAAGACTTGCACTGATGATGTCATTCCTCCATCATCATTTTCTATCCAAAATACTACTGCCCAGCCCTGAAACCCAATTTTTATTATTGTAGCTAATTGTAAGAACTTGACACAAGATGCTAGAGTCTGGACAAAAGAGATCTGGAAAAGGAATGAGTATTTGTTGCTACTCTCAGATTATAATAACTATCAGGAGGTTGTAAAATGAATTTTTAAACACAAGAGTAAAGAGTGGTACTGTGCCACAAGGTTAGAGACCCTCTCTCCAGGAAAATACAGAATTGTATAGACAGTCATGAATTTGCATGCAGCAAGAGGTTTTCAGGACCCCCTGAATGTTACCTTGGATCCCAGGTGAAGAATTCCTGTATCGGGTCTGATACTTTAATATATAGCATTGTAGCTATGTATTCATCAAGAGCTAAGTGCATACTTAATGCTGTATATAATGATGGAGGAGGGATTCCTTGTTATCTGAATATCATTATCCTAACATCAATAGTGATGAGCTGCATAGGAAAGTGAAAGTGCACCAAACACTAGACAATCTACTAAGGGAATTGTTCACTTATAATAGTCCCCTTTGTCACCCCCTGTTATATATGTGTGACTCCTGCTATATATTTGTTAAATATTTATGGGTCAGTTTCTCTATGGCTCCTAAATGTTGTAAACATATGACAATAAAATTTTGATGATACAAATAAATAGCAAAGTAAATTTAATGTAAATCCAAAAGCAAAATTATTTGAGTAAATAAGAATCATGAGTGATCCTTAGGAAAATTGTCTAGAATATATTTGCAGAAATTAGATTTATATTAATATTGAAAGTGTTATATTGATTATCAGACAATTTTGTCCAAAAAAGAATTAACTATCACTGGACTGTTAATACACAACTAACCAAGCCTGTTCATTCAAATAATTAATGCATAATTGCAATGATAATAAAAACTTTGTGGAAAATGATTAATTTTGTTTCCATTATTTTTAGGTATCTTTTTAAGATAATGTTACATCCAATTGAGTCTGTACTTATAAAATATTGGACACCTTTACGTGGATTTACACTAAGCAAACTTTTCAGCTCCCACTGATCTTAACAAGGGCTTCCTATGATTTGATATAGATCTTCATAATTTCTCTTTAGTTCTTTTTGAACTTTTCCCATAACTGAAGAATGTAGACACAGAACATATTTCCTCAGTATACAGATGTGATATCAGTGACTATAACTTTATATGGGCACAGAAACCCTAAATAATAAGACCTGCAGACATTGGTAAATAGCCTTCCTGCTGCTTATTTAATTCCTATTTGCTCTCACATAACTGTAAATAAAATATTTAATAGCTCTTTCTTTAAAAAAGTAGACCCAGTGAGGTTCTTGATTTGGTATCCTCATTTACCTTTATGTCAGAGAAGTTAGATTTTGCAATGTAAAAATAATATGTTTTTTCTGTTTTTATAGATTGTGTCATATGGCATTTTCTTGTACTTCAAGATATTATGAAAATGCTTTCTGGTATTGATATTGTGGAATTTTGATATTTAAGTCATATAACTAAATGTTTCAATGTTTTTATAATATCCCTAGGCTGATCTTTACTGAACTTATAATATCTAAGATATAGATGAAAATTGGAATCAATATTTTGCTGTGTTATCAGCCCTAGATCAAATATCTGTGTTTCTTGAAAACATCGGGAGGACTGAATTTTGCTTCGGTATTCATAATGGCACAACCTATAGTACATGAAATTATATCATTTGCTCCCCAAGTGCCCTGCATGTTGACAAGTATAAGATGTCAATCTGAGTTAGTGCAAGTTACATATAGAGAGATTTTATTACATTTACTTAATAAATACTAAATACATTTAGAATGTTGCTGATCTAATGTGCCATATGACCTTCCTGTAATCATTATTCATTGCATGCACCAATATTTCATCCTTTGTATGATTTTAATTTTTAACAAACTATTTAAAAATTATATAAATACTTTAAATTTTATTCTATTTTTTCTTCTCTGAAGTTCATAAATAATTTGAATGTACAGAAGATTACTGGAAAACATTTTGACTTAAAAAACTTACTGGATTTAACCAATTTAATGATGAATTACTATCTGCTGCTTTATACATAAAAGGGGTCTATTTATCTTCTTACAAAAGGATTTGTGCATTTCTGCATATCCAAATGATTTATATTGTATTCTCTATTGATGAAATCCTCAGTCAAATGTCTTCTTTTTCTGCCTTTATGCAGCAGGCTTCAAGAATAAATTTAAAGACTTTCATGTTTACAATGCTACCTCTCCCATTCCTGCACTACCATTTTATTTTAAAATTCGGTATTTTCAACTTTTATTTTTTTTTACATTATTTTTATTGTTTCCACTGTTAAAGATGTGCCCCTTTGCCTGCCTTTGCCTGCCTCTACCCAGCCCCTACCCCTCCACTTCCCTCTGGCCATCACCACACTGTTGTCTGTGTCTACGGGTTATGCATATATGCTCTTTGGCTGATTCCTTCGCCTTCTGATATCCAGTCATCCCCCCTTCCCTCTGACAGCTGTCATTCTGTTCCATGTGTACATGCTTCTGTTTCTTTTTCCACAGAAATAAATTTTATTTTTGTTTTATTTAAGGCTGGTGATTATATAACATAGAAAAGATAAAATATGCAAAGGAAAGGGGATACTGTTACTTTGCTGAAAGAATTATATATCATTAGGAAGTTACATAGTACATCATCC